AAGAGAAGCTCCATTTAAAGAAGAACTTGAATTTCTTCTCTTTGGCAAATGTCTATATTGAATTATAATAGTAAGACATTGAATTTTTATAGTGATGCAATTATATATCACACAAATAATCTGGAACGGTGGTGGCGAACCTATGGCATGTGTTGTACCTATTTTTCTTTTGAGACAAAAGATGTTAATGTATGCATTGTTTTTTCTAAACTCAAACCTCAGTATTCATGTTTAATTGCAATGTTGGTATTTTGTGATAAATAAGTGGGGTTGGGGTTGCAGTTTGGTCACTTGTCTTTAAAAGGTTTGCCATCACTGATCTAGAATATTACCACCATCCTGGAAACCTCTGCCATAATAACCTCCCTACAAAGGTGACCGTTTTTCTCATTTCTCTCGGAGATGCTTTGGAACCTTATATAATTGAAATCATACAGTATGTATTTCTTTGTGTCTGGCTTCTTTTGCTCAATATTATGTTTATGAGGTACATCTTTTCCAATTTGCCCCAATGGTTATTTTAAATGTATTATTTAAGGTTAACAAATTTAGAAGTTTTCTAATATTCTTTCTGTTATTGATTTTAGCTTAATCCCACTGAAGCCAGAAAGTATTCTTGGTATTATTTCAGTCCTTTGAACTTCACTGAGTCTTGCTTTATGGCCTAGCATATTTTCCGTTTTAGTAAATATGTTCCATTACACTGGGAAAGAATATGTGTTCTGAAATGTTGAGGACAGTGCTCTAAAAAACATCAGTTAGGTCCAGTTTGCTCCTTATAGCCTTCAGGTCTTCCACAAGGCGCCTTTAATGCTTTCCCTGCTTGCTCTTTCAGTTACTGGAGGAAGTAGTTTACATTTTCCCATTGTCATCATGAATCTCTAGTTCTGCTGATCTTGTCTTTTTTCTTTATAGTTTTGAGTTTCTTATCTGTCGGTCACATGAGATTTTTTTCATTATAAAATATATCTATCTTTAGTACTACTTTCTTAAAATTGACTTTTGCTAATACTACTATGGTCATAGGTTTTCTTTTGGCTAGGCTAGTATTTTTGTGACAAAGGTTTTTTCTATCCTTTGATCCTATTCTATGTCATAATACATAATGGACATCTAGTTAACCATACGTTATTCATAGTCACAGTTGAGGAAAGTAAAATTTAAAGAAGAGGAACAATGGGGCTGGGGATTTAGCTCAGTGCTTCTGGCACTTCCCTTGCAAGCTCAAGTCTGGAGTTCAATCCCTGGTACCAAAAAAGAAAAAAGAAGAGGAACGAGTGGAGCTGGGAAAGGGACAGAGAAGTGAGGGGAGACTATAGCCAGGGAGTAGTGAAACTAAGAAAGAATTTCAAGCAGGATGAAAACCAAAGCCCCATCTGGCAGTTTTAGTGGTGGCACCTTGTCAAGAGCTATAGAGACAGGAGGGCAAATAGAGATGAATGAAAGATCATTATGTTCAGAAGTTAAGGCATCCATAATATTCATGACTTTTTAAGTTATAATAGGTAACAAAGCAGGCTTAAAGAAGTAATTAGTGGAAAGAAAATGAAAGCAGTTGATTTAGAGATATTATTTATGAAATGTATCAATGGAGAATTATACTTGGCTCATTTTTTTTTTTTTTTTTTTAGCAAATATCCTGAGCTTGTAGAAATACTCTACAGCTTAAATTTTACCATGACCACATCTTTTGGCCTTTCCAGTAAGCCAGGGATGCATCTGCCCGCTTAGTGGGTTCCTTCTTGTTTCCTTTCCAGACCATCACTCTCTACTTCAGTTGTACAGGAAACCCGCCAGCCTCAGATGGTCCAAGGCATGCTGCTGTCCTCTCACACCACTGTGCTCTGACCCAGAGTCAGGGATGGAGCCTGAGCTACTGGAATGATACTTTGGCTCCTCCTCTCCCCAGAGATGAAACCGTTTTCTGTTTTGCTTCAAGAACACAAATCATACAGTTAAATAAATTCTGATTCGGCCATCCAAAGGAATTGTTTGCACCTACAAAGTAAAATGAATAGAATGAACAAGCTGACCCTTGACCTGGAAAGACGTCTAAGACAGAGTGGTACTAAAAATGTAAGGCGCAGATCAATGGCACAGAATAGTATGCTTTACCCGAATAGGTGGGTACTTGCCAAGCTTTCTAAAGGGGGTTATTGTCTTCCCCTGCCTCACCTTCTCCTTCTGAAGAATATTCTCTAAGTGATCCAAAGATATGCATATATTTCTGGTGGGGAGAATTCACTGAACTCCAATTATTTTCACTTGATGTTCTGATCCTTCCTTAGAGAGAAAAATACATACAATTTTTGTCTTGTGGTATATCCTTTCACAATGTGGCTACATTCTGCAATTATTTTCAAAGCAGGGTCATCTTGTGCCTACTTGAGTGCGGATGAAGTATGTAGGGTGCATAGAAAATTCCAGAAGGACAATCAGATAGGTTTTTGGACAAAGTCAGGGGAGTTAGTTTTGGAAAGGAGAAGAATTTATGCCAAACAGAAAGAAAAGAGGACCTCCTCAGACTAAATATTTAAAGTATAGGGGGTGAGAAAGTGTGAGTGTGTGTGTGTGTGCATGTGTGTGTGTGCATTTATCTACTCCTTAACATGTACCTAGGACCATTTGCAACTCGAGAGAATGACAAATTAAGTCTCTGTGATTGAGGAATTGATATCTAAGCAATAAATAAGCGGTGCAACATAATTCACTTGCCCTAATTGTGGTAACAAAAGAAAGATAGTGGGTCTCTATGTGTCTGGCACTGTTGTGGCATCAGAGTCACAGATCTGGGAATTTCTGCTGAGTCTCTTGCTTCCCTTTTGCATTTACTGCTGAGAGATGTATGGATCACATCCTTTCTTTCCCTTGTAGAGACCATGAAGCAGTATATATATAAAGTATTATATACATATCTCCCAATATTGTTTCCCTTGCTATCTTCTTGGCGCTTTTACCTGCCCATCTGACATGGTCACTTCTACTATTCAATGACTTAATGTCCAATTGCATTCTTGTAAGTGTTTATAACTGCAGGTTTTGAGTTCCTAAGGGCTATCCATGCTATCACTCAATAGCAGCTACGGCCTCTGTTTTCTTACTTCCTACCCTGTCAAGTCCAGGTGATTGCTAATTTTCTTTGCATCTTTCCTTTCTCCACTCTTGCTTTCAGTGCTGTTCTTGACATTTCATACATGGATCATGGTTAACAGCCTCTTACTTCCGGTCTTCTCTACCCATCCTGACTGACCAATGTACCAAATAGAATGGGCTTATGATGCATGGGTTAAACTGAGCTGCTGCCTTGAGAGAAAAATGCCAGTAACCACCACCAACCTTCAGTGGTTTTCAGCAGCTTTCAGGCAAAGTTCACACTTCTAGGTTCCTTCAGCACCAGACGCTCTGGCCTTGGCTTACTTTCTGGTCTTAGATTTCTCTGCTTCCTGTCTCCCACGGCGACGGCCACTTCCACTAAATACAAGCATCACAGGGCCTGTTTCCTGCCCTCCTATACCTCTGCCCAGTGTTTTCCTGTCAGATTAGAATTTCCATTCTGTTTTGCTCAATAATTTCTAGCTGTCTTAAAAAACTTGTCTCACTTTTCCCCAAAAAACCTTTCTTTGTTTTGTCAAATTAATTTTAAACTGATACATAAAAAGACAAAACTGTGCATATTAATGGGGTGTCATGTGATGTTTTGATACCTGTATACATTGAGTAACCAGGTTGAACATATCTATTTTGTCAAACCACCTACCATGAAAACATTCAAAATCCTTTCTTCCAACTTTTTGAGATACACAGTACACAACAATGAGCTCCGTCACTCCCCAGCGCAGTAGCGGAGTAGAACTTCTTATTTCTATTTGACTCGGTACCCATGTATCAAACTGTCCCACCCCTCCTACCCTGCACTCTTTCATGCCCCTCGTAATCAATCACTCACTCCACTCTGAATTTCCCTGACAGCAAGTCTTTTATATTCCACCAGTGAGTGAGAGCATGCAGTGCTCATTTCTCAGAAACCATTTCTAAACAGTTATCTCTGACTCTATCCTCAGGTTGGATTTGATGCCTTTCCATCTGTTTCCACAGCCTTGACGCTTAGCGCTATTGTAACACTCAGTACACTGCACATTCATTGGCTGTTTCTGAAAAGATGTCACTTATCATATTTGCACCTTCCGGGGCAGTGATGTACTCAGCACAGACCTGTGAGAGGCAGCCTGCCTGATCTGAACATCTCCAAGTGGCAGAGTCATTGAGTTAGGAGGCTTGCGACTTGGGCCAATTTTGGTTTCTCGTTTGGTTTTTCTTTTAGTATTATTTTTTGAGACTAAAAGTAGATAAAGATTGAGAAGTCAAATCATGTTGTTCCTTAGATATTGAGATATAACATACATGAATTTTATACAGAGGTATAAATTATTTAACTTCTTCCTAGTGTCTTGACTCCAAAATAACTAGGGTTGTCACTAACAGTTAGAATTCATCTAAGAGTAAGCTTACCACTGTTTTTTAAAAAAATCTTTATTTTTTGTTTAAAACACCCTTTGGTTAGTCAGCTGATATTTTAAGATGTTGCTGCATGGTTTGTCAGGCCCTGAGTCTCTGGATACATTGTATGATTAATGTAAACTTGGGAAACTTATTTTTTTTTTAATGGTCCAAATTTAAGTTGCTTTTAGTCACAGGATTTCTGTAAATACAAACTTATGTCAGAAGAGGCTTTTATTTACTTTTTGATTCAACTTGGCATGTTTATTTAATCTGCAGCAAATGAGCTTACTGCTGCATCAGGACCATGGAGTGTGTGTTCTCATCAGGCCTGAGCAAGCTGATGGCTTTGATCTGCACTGAAGGCTCAGGAGAAGGGTCTGTTATCCCTGCAGATTCACCTTCAGAATTTCTCTTTCTTTTCTATTAGGAAAGTACTGATGTTTGACTATGGGGTTGCTTTCAGTTAATTCAGATTTTCCAGACTTCTGAAATTTAAGTTATTTTTTTTTCATGTGTGTATATGTGTGTGTGCGCTTTCAGATGGAAAAGGCAAGGTCATTCTAATCATTGGTAGAAACTTGTGTTGTTGATTTTCTTTCCTGTAGACATTCTGGAAGAAATACAAAAGAAGATGTTGATGTTAATCAGTTGAGGTCACAAAACCCCAGTGTATGAATAATGATTATTTTAATGACTATATTAATTTCTCAGAAATCCAAACAAAAGAAAGAAACTGGTGTATATTTCTTGCTTAGGCAAGACTGGCTACGCAGTCGGCCTCCAGGGTCTCCAGCCTCCTACCTCAGTCTGTCTGCATTTGCTGTCTGCCCACGCCAACGTTTCTTGGTAGTTACCAGCTACTGCGGCCCCCTCATTTCTGAGCTCATTCTCTGGATGACTGTTCTCAGTTTACACTCACTGGAGCTATTTATGCTCTTAAATCACTGAATTCCTTGCTGCTGGGTGAACCTGTCCCTAAGCTAATCTAGCTAGGCACTGTGCACTCAGCTTCCGCTATCACACTGGAGGGGTCCCATGGTCCAGGGAAGGCCTTTGAGAAGCTGTGTCAGGAGCCACTCTGCAGGCGTCATCCCTTCTTATAACTGATGGTTAGCATGAGGTGTGATAAGAAAAATACAGTGAATGTTTAAATTTTTTAAAATTATTACAGTAAAATACACATTGCAATTAATCTCCCTCAAAACACTCTGCCTCACTTTGAACACTTGTCCCATCAGTCTTGCCCTTTCTGAAGTGGTTCTGGAAGTCCTCTTTTGCGAGTCTTTAGTTGCACTGTCATGGCTGCCCTGGTGGCCTGAATTGATTCAAACATTCACTTTTCATGGTCATTTTGATTTTGGGGAAGAGCCAGAAGTTGCATGATACCAGATTGGTGAATAAGGTGGAGGAGGACACACCGTGATATTTTTACCAGCCTGTGTTACTGTGGGATGGCAGTGGGCAGTAGCATTAACTGCCTTTTAAAAATCACATTTTGTTAAGACACTGATGAAAGGGGACTTCTGGAATGATTTCAGAAAGTGGCAAGAATGATGGGATAAGTGAGTTTGAAAAGAGGGCAGTATGTTGAGGGGTATTAGCAGCAGTGTGCTTTTTACTGTAATAATTTAAAAAAATTAAACATTTGCCATATATGTTGATTACCCCTTGATTTTCTAATAAGTGAGAGTCCATTCAGATTCTGATCCCTTCAGTCAGGAATTTAACAATGACCTGAGGCTTTCCTGGTCACCTCACCGTCACATAAGTGCTTTACAAGTTTACATTCAAATTATACTCAGTATTTTAAAATCTGAAAATCATTTTACTCATTAAAATTGGCTGTAAGTAACAGAAAGCACAAAATCACATTGCCTTCCACAAAACAGAGGTAAAAGGTCCTGAGGGAATGAGGATTCAAATCTTTCTTTTTGGTCTTTCATTCTATCCTTCTGGTTTTCAGCCTTAAGGTTCAACATGCTACTGGAGCTCCATCCATTGCTTCCATCTTCAGGCAACTGGATCTGGAAGGGAGGAGTCATGTGGGAACAATGAGAGCAGTTTTCTTTAAGCATTCTGCTTTATCCTGTTTAGCCAGAACTTCACCAAATGGCCACAGACAACTGGAGGAGAGGTTGGAAGATTCATTCTTTGGCCAGGTGCACTGCAACCCAGAGAAAATGGACAGAGAACAGCTATTGGCTGCCAGCAACACTGCTGGTAAAACTTAAAGAGAAAGCAGACTAAGTAGGAGTTCAGACTTTCTTTCTTTAAATCTTTCAAAAACATATTTGTCTTATGAAGAATGTCTCCAGTTTCTGACCACCTTTTTGTTCCAAACCTCAGTAACAAGCTCATCTTATTAAATACAAATGTGTACCAACATTTCCATTTTGAAAACCAGCTTTCTTAGCCTGGCTTTGTGTTTGGTTTTGCCACTGTCCCTGTATTCACACTGGCTGTGTTAGATCCCTTCTCTTTACCCCCCTTTGAGATTTGCTGTTACTCAACCAGATCAGGGTCCTCGCTGGCTCCCACCCAGGATGAGTCACAGTCACTTTCAGATTTGTAAGTCATGGGGTATGGATATGTTTCTCTTCAGTTTCGAAAAGCTATCTTCTGTCAATTTTCAAGAAGTGTCTCTGACTAGTGAGCATTTTTCTTTTCCTGCCAGTTTCGTGCTGCTTTTCCCATGGTGTGATTTGTCTGGGATTTCTGTCTCCTTCCACAAGGGGTGGTGGGCATGTACTCTGGTCTATTCTCCTCCTGTTTGGTGGTTGATTTAGGGACAGGCGACCAAAGTCTTTTGCTGAGTTCACTGAGGGAGATTTTGTCTTTCTTCATGAGATTATGAAGGGCCACTTCCAACATCACAAGAAGGGGTTGGGGTGGGGAGTCACCCAGGAATTAAACAAGCTTTCTAAGCACATCTTTCCAGAACCTGAGTCTAACCTGCCCAATGCTAGTGTTATTCCATGTACCAAAGACTGGCAGTTGAAGATTATGTCACAATTTAACTTCTTCGTTTCCTTCTTTTCTTTTTTCCTTCCTTTTCCCTTCATCCTATTCTTTGTTCTCTCTCTCTTTTCTCTTCCATCCTTTTTTCTGTTTTCCCTTATACATTCATGTGGTATAAGCATATAAAGATCCCTTTCCTCTTTAAACCAGTTTGAGTTTAAATATATGCAATTTGTTTCTACATATGTTCTCATCAATTCAATTTGGCAATATCTCCTGGCTTTTCAGTCTACTAGCCAGCTGCTCTTTCCTTATTTATTAAAGTGTGCAAGTTTTGTTAGGTAGAGATGACCCTACAGGTAAAGTGGGTATGAAGCAATTCTATAAAAAACCCTGCAGTGTCTACTGAGAAGTTATCAAGTTGTGTGGATTACGACATAAAGGAAACGGTTTCCACTTGAACTTAATCTCACCAGTTTCTCTGCTGGCTCTTCTTGTCTCAGCACACAGAGACACCTGACCGGAAATGTGGCTGCATGTTAGAGACAGAGAAAAGTAGAGTGAAGCATAAATAAAAGCATTTTATAGAACAACAAGGAGCAGTCATATTTCACAATGTTTTGAAGAAAATCAAAACTGCTTCAGAAAGCAGTTAAAGATGCCTGAGGCGAATACTGAGCTCTGAGTCAACATGGGCTACATAGTGGGTTAGAAGACAGTCTGGACTACATAGCAAGACTCTGTCTCAAAAAAAATGAAACAGCAACACCCTAAATGACCAAAAAATTCTCAAAACTAAAAACCAAGAAACAGTTAATGATGTCTCTGATACTCTTTTTAAATAAAACATACCTTTGATCAGTATGGAAAGCAACTAGGAGTTCTCTGAGATGAACAAGCATCCTGAGATCATCTGTAATTAGTCATTTAATCTAAAATAGCAAGGGCACAAAAGGAAAGCAAAACTAGTATTTGTGGAGAGCCAACGCTGTGCTAGGTAGATGCCAGCCTTCTTTCATGTAGAGTTGGATGCTAAAGAAGGAAGGTAGAGGCACTTTTGAAACCATGACTGTCAAAGGTATGTGGAAATGTAAAGACATTGAGAATGTAGTTTCCATCACATAGGAAATGTTCAAATAAATAGAAGTAACTGTGGCTGCTGATGATTATGATGAGATTACTATGCAAACAGTGGGCTGGGGAGCCTCTGTGGTTGGGGCTTTGTCACCTGAACCTGGACGCCGGATACGTAGTAGCCCTCGTGAACAAAGCCAAACACCTGTGTCACTGTCCCCTCAGGGGAAACTAAACAAATAATCAGATCCTTAAGTCTACAGTATTAGTGAATCAGAACCCTTAAACATGTGGCCCAAGTCATCTGCATTTTAATCATATTCCCTAGGAGGCCCCTGATAATCATTCAGATGTGAGAATCTTAGTTTCACAGCGAATCTAAGGGAAGGGGAGGGACATTATTGTATTTCACTAACCTTTTTTTAACTGTTTGTTTGTTTTGTTTTGGTGTGGGGATGGAACTTGCGCTTGCGCAGCAGGCGGCGAAACCACTGAGCTAAATCCCCGGCATTATTTCACTAACCTTTAAAGTGCCTTGAAAATGATCTAAATTAATTAACATCGCCGGACAAGTAAGTCCAGAACACGTTCAATGGCAGTAAAATTATTTTTGATCCTTCAGACTGAAGGATCTGACTGAAATTGTTTTTGCAATCAAAGTCTGATCTCAGCTGGGAGTTGAAGATTCCCAATTTATGTCCCAATTTAACGTCTTATTTCCTTCTTTTCTTTTTTCCTCCCTTTTCCTTTCTTAGCTCCTCCATCTTATTCTTCTCACTGGTCTTTTCCCTTTCCCCCTTCCATCCTTTCTCCCGTTTTCCTTATAATGCAGTGCTTCCATGTGGCCAACAGAGGGCACTGTGCTGCAACAAGTCTGGACGTGGAGTATTAAAAGATAAATTGTTGATTAAATTCTAGGAAGATAGCTTGAAACGAGCCCATAAATGTTGTTACATACATGAATGCTTACTGCATTTAATTATGTTGATTTACACGGACCTGTCATGATCACATGGCTCATAAAACAAGCTTTAATAGCTGCACTTTACGATGTCCCTTTTCCTTTATGAGAATTTAATTCTCTCTTTAACCACTGAACTGAAGATGATCCTCTTTCTAAATAAGACGTACTCTACTCAGAGTACAGTCTCATTAGTATCGAGACTCTTTCTGAAAGTCCTGTTTTATTGATCTGTTCTACTGTGTAATTGTTTAGTTGAACTTGGTAAACACGTCAGTTTTCCCAGGACAATTAGGTCGATAAACAAAATGTTCAAAAAGAAATGGAGTCAATTAGACTTTTTATCAGAGTCATAACACACAAGAAAGATTTTACAAATGGATGGCCTTTTCCTTAGAGATTTGATCCCGAATTAGAGTTCCGGGAATTTACAAGGGACAAACGAGGCAGCTTTCCTAAATATAACAAAATCTCAATTACTGGGGAGGAGGGCAGATGGAAGAGAGGAAGCCTCACACACCTCCCAATCATGCCTGAGTTAGAACTGCAGTGGGGCAGGCACCCCTAGGAGCATAGTTTTAGCCCCACCTAATCACAGCCACTTTTGAAGAAGTCAGATAGCTGGACAAGGATTTCCATAGCTCTGGGTAATTTTCTTGGAACTAGGTCAAAGCAGATAAGTACCTGTTGTGTCCAGATCGCGATGTCCCAAAGACCACCAGGAGACCGTTTTTGATGTAAGCACACGAGGGTCGTTTATTTAAGCTTAAGCAGGGACTCTCAATTGTC